GTGACTGTGTTTCTAGTACCATCATCTCCATCTTAAAACATTTTTTCTTTGTGAAAACAATATTTAAAAACACTGCCTGACTCTATTTTCCTTGCATATGCATTTATAAACATTTAACACACTCACTTCAATTTGAAATAGAAATAACATAATTCCATGCTTAAAATTTAACATTATCTATATCTTTTGCCTATTAATTGTTTGGCCAAATGCCTGAAAAAAGAAAACTTCAATAGAATAAAACACTGTCTTTTATTTACAAAGTATGGAAACTGCAAAACATATTTGATTGCTGACATACTAACCTGCATTGGTTGCTAGTATAGCCAAAGCCGACATTTATTTCAATGCCTGACACCTTATTCCAATCATGATATAGCTGAAATATTGCTCATTTGACCACAAAACACCACATATACACACATTTATCATGCAACTTTTGTATACACAGGTATGACACATGCAGGAATGGGACCATCCCATGTAAACAACTTCTTAACAGAATGCAACTTACCACCAATTAGTGATACAACATTGCGCAAAAAGGAGAAAGAGTTCAGTAAGACAACACATAATGTTGCTATGACCTCCTGCAGAGAAGCTCAACATCAAGAAAAACTTCTAAGTCATGGCAAAGTATGTCATTTATATAAATATATAAATAATTACTCATCTGCAAAATTTTTTTTTAAATTCCTTCAGCATAAATACTGACTTGAACCAAATACCATTACAAACTAATCATTTTTCTTGGTATTTATTTGCTTGATCAATTATGTATACAACTTTTAAAGTCTTCATCTGACATGGAGAATACTTTTGTATGTAGGTTCAATTCCTACTGGGACAAATGTACAACATAATGCTTGCTAAAGTCTTTGCTTTTAGCTTAAAGCTTATTGTATATTTGTTTGCATAACATATTATACAATTATGTAAATCAAGGTCTATATAATCTGCATCTTACAGAGAAATCAATCATTTTTGATATACATTCTTCAAAATGATTAATGGGTTTTTGTACATTTTTTTTCTATAGACTGGATTTCACTAAACTTGTAATTTACATGTAAGTTGTTTTGTACATTATTGTTTGTTTTAAAGTACAGTTTGTGTGTTGCCAGTATATATGTATATATCAATATTTTCAAAATAATTTTCTTAGTAGACATTGTATGCTTGCATTTAACTGTATTTACATTTTGTGTGTTAATTTATTACCGGGTACAACTACATGTATTTTGCTGAACTCAGCAGTCGTTTTTTCATGTGTAAATTAAACCAAATGTCCCTGTCTGACACTCTATCCAAGAGGGTGGCTATTATTATCTTCAAATGGCAAACAATTACAGATTTTCAGAAACAATGATCCTTGGGTTGTCCTTTTACAATTGTGTTATGCAGCCCCGACCATCATCCAAGATAGCCACAGTTGACAAAAATAACAATATATTGAAATGCCAAAAACTTCTAAATTTTTAGCTGGAATTGACTGAAATCTGAAATGAAGTAACTGGATAAAAAGATTGCCTGTTACTGTTAGCCTTGCCCATCATTATCAAAGATGGTCACAGTTACTAAAATCTAACTTTTCTTAAAATTCCTGTGCATAGTTCAGCTCAACTGACAACCAGTTGAGCAATTTAAGGCTCCTGGAAGCCTCTGGTTTCAAATTTAACCATGGATTTATTATGTTATTTTGCTGGTTTTAATCTGTTTTACAGGTGGCAGCAAGTTTTGATGGTGGTTGGCAGAAAAGAGGATCTGGATGGAATTATAACAGTAATACTGGTAATTGTGCTGGAAAATTTGACAATCAGCAAAAACTGTTGTTGTCTCTTGTATATTATAGCTTTCAAATTATGATTTTTAAAATAATTTGCAGAACTGCAATCTTGAAATCTAGTTATTACTTTTCTGTCGGTGACTTCAAGTGCCTATAACTAATTACAGACTAAAGAAAGGATTTTCACAATTTTAAAAAGTAATGCTCATAGCTATAGGCTATGCCCATGAATTACCATGTAATTTTGTTATTCTTTTAAATGAACCCTTATCAATTCATCTGTGTGTAACACCCTTGTTAAAACACTGGACTGAACATCCTTCCATGGATTTGACCAAATTTTATACATATTTAATCTTGAAGAATATGTCAAGGCTCAGGATCAAGGTCACTGTTTTAAACACCCTTGTGAACACTAGAATCAACATTCTTAAATAGGTTTTTAAAAATTAAACTTTGTAAATACTTAGTACTAAGTAATATCTAGAACTGTATTGATTTTCAAGGTCAAAGGTCAAGGTCACAAATTCAAATGTAAAAGAAGAGGGGATGTCACACGTCATATCAACCTTGTTGTCATATAAGCATGAAAAGTACATCTGACATAGAAATAATTTAAAGTATAAAAACATAAATATGCGCAAGGAAAAAGAGTCCCTTATTTATTAAATTTATTAAGCTGTCGTTAGCTCCAAAGACATACGGGAAACTGTTTTTTGTTACTTGGTTTAGAATAATTGATTTAGCATTATCACTATTATTCTGTATCAGAAAAATTTGAAAAAAAAGATTATCTAAGGCAATCTCACTTAAAAAATGTAAACATAAATTGTGTGTCTACCAAGTTCAGCTATTATCCCTAGATTAGAGGATGTCTTTCTAGTTGATAGATTATATTTACTGAAATTAACATGAACATTTTATAAGTACAATGAAGGTTTTAATTTTAACAGGCCATACAACTATGATTGGTAAAGAAACTGGAAAAATAATGCTCTGGGATCAAAGAAGCAGATCATGCAAGACCTGTGAATACCATCTTGCAAATCAAACTCAGATTCTAGACCACCTTAGTTCTAAAAACTGGTATGGGTCAAGCAAGGCCATGGAATCAGATATGGCAGTATCAATGGCACACACTTTAAAAAATGAAGGGTGTGAAATAAAAGGTATGCTATTTGAATTGCATGTACATTTTACAAGGGAAATTTGGTTATAGAAGAAGAACTTGTCTGAAGTATATGGATGTCCCTATTTATATTGCCTACAAAACCTTGTTCAGCAGACAATTTCAATGCACTACATATGTTCCTATAGCTGAAATATTGCTCATTCTACATTAAACTATATACAAATAATAGTATCCATTCATTATTCAGGTGAAGAAAGACGGTATGGTATACCGTTGACCGTCCGTCCGTCCGTCGTCAACATGTTGGACATTAATTCAAAAGCGCTTTAATCAATATGCATGAAACTTTGGTGAATTGTTTATATCTGTTGACGTGAGCTCCCTTTCATTTTGTATACATTTCAGATTTATCATTTCCGAGTTTTGGGGTTTAATTCATTAAAAAAGGGGTGATTTTCCAGCTTTCGGACAATAACTCAAAAACAATTTCACCAATTTGCATGAAACTTTTGTGAATTGTTCATATCTATTGACGTGAGCTCCCTTTCGTTTTTTATAAATATAGGATTTACTGTTTCTGAGTTTTGGGGTTTTATTCATTAAAAAAGGGGGAATTTTCCAGTTTTCATACAACAACTCAAAAACAATTTAACAAATTTGCAAGAAACTTTGGTGAATTGTTTATTTCTATGGACATGAGCTCCCTTTTGATTTTTATAAATTTCAGACTATACATTTCTGATTTATGAGGTTTTATTCATTACAAAAAAGGGGATTTTCCAGTTTTCGGACAATAACTCAAAAATGCTTTCAGCATTTTTTATGAAACTTTATTAGATTGTTTATATCTATTTTTGTAAGCTCCCTTTTCATTTTTATAAATATTCGATTTTATGTTTCCGAGTTATAAGATTTTATTTGTTTATAGTCTGACAACAGATTTACTAAGTATTATGCAACAGCACAGTGTATTGCTCAACACAAGAAATCCAAATTCAGACCTGTATCAAGCTTGAATATTGTGTCCTTTTTTGCCTAAACTGTTCAGGGTTGGACCTCTGTGGGCGTATCCAGCTGCGCTCACCGAAGCAGTTTATTTTTCATGCATCCATAACTGTTAAACCTTGAAAAAAAAATGCCCAATGATATGAAATTTCTATAATGATCGCATGTTCTTTTATTCTTTTAGTGATACATGCTGACAATGATGCAGCTACCACTTCAAAATTGACAGTTGATTTTGAAGATCTTGAAAAGAGAGATGATCAGAATCATTTGAAAAAAGGCTTATCAAAAAGTTTGCATCAAATGTCTGTAAAGTAAGCTATATGAATGTACCACTATGCATCCAATGCTACACTTTAGTAACTAATTATACTTAAACAAAGTGTTTTTGTTTTTTTTTTTGGTTCAGATTTGACTTATAATCCTAAAGCAGAATTCCTGAACCTATATATAAAGAAAAGACATGGTATGATTGCCAATGAGACAACTCTCCACAAGAGACCAACTGATACAGAAATTAACAACTGTAGCTCACTGTATAGCCTTCAACAACGAGCAAAGCCTATACCGCATAATCAACTATAAGAGGCCCCAAAATGACAAATGTAAAACAATTCAAACGAGAAAACTAACTGCCTAATTTATGTACAAAATAATGAACGAAAAAAACAAATGTGTAACACGTCAACAAACGACAACCACTGAATTACAGGCTCCTGACTTGGGACAGACACATACATACAGAACATGGAGGGGTTAATGTATGTTGGTTGAATGATGTGTAATTTTCTGGTGATAAATTTGAAAAAAAATATTGACAACATTGAAAACATTGTTTTTGAAACACATTCTCATTGGATAAAAACCCAAAACAAAAACAAAATTGATATTTTTCTAGTTAATTGAATAAACAAAGGTAATAACTAATTTTATTTGAAGGTTCAAGGAACTTAAACAGGATGATACCATAGAATATATACTAAGATGTTTCATGTATGCAATTACGGGAGGAACAACTGAAGATGATATAAAAGTATCTCTAGACAGAATTGTACCACATATATTTGGCAATCACGACAGTTGCAGAGAGGTCACATGGTGTAAATATAAGGAGAATCCAACAAATTTTAAGTAAGATTCTATGATTCAGACAAGGTACTAAGTATGGGTAAAATTCTAAATTATCAATGACCAATAAACCTTCTTTACAAAAAGTCTTAGAAAACATGTGAAATCTTTAGTTTTATTATGCTAGTAGCATAATAAAGCCTCTCTCTGTAAAAAGGGTCATCAGATATCCCGGAGTCTGTGTTAACTTCTATGAAATAAAAACCTAAAATATGTTTTATTTATCATGTTCCTGTTAACCTAATAAACTTTAAGGCTCTTGCCATTTCCTGCAGTTTTTTTTTCTAACTTTCCTAATACCAAAACTATTTTTAATCTTATTTAAACTTTTTCCATTGGAATAATCAACATACTGAAAATTCAGAAATTATTGTGCGCATTTATGACTGCGATTTTGTCATTTTAGACGAAAATGCGATTTTAATTTTTGTGATATTGAGAAATATCTTGTTTAATTCATATAAAAAATTTCAGAATGCGAGTTAGAATTAACGCGAGTTTAACCCTGTCACATTTTTCGCAATAATTTTTGAATTTAAAGAAATATAAAAGTAGCAGAATGATAATAATAAGCCTTTACTTTATTGTTATGAAACAATACTTTATTTATTTGACACGGTCTCTGAAAAAAACCCAGGAGCTTCAAATGAGAAAGATGTTTTCTAATGCTGGTCAAATTAATTCAGTATTGTTTGGCTGTAACCATGTGTTGTATATGTATTGATGTAGCATGCAACACAATTATAGGTATAGGAGCCTTCCAGGTGGTAATCCACTAACAAATGAATCCCTGAAAGAAGAACTATTGGTATTGGTATCAAAATATACATCTCGGTCTAATGCTATAGCAGAATTAGGATCAACACAGGCAAATGAAAGCTTCAATCAGATGGCATCTTCAAAAGCACCAAAGTCAAGGTAAACACACATAAATATATGTATACTGCAACTAGTGCATTTACAGCCTATATTCAGTTGTAGACTTAAAAAGGTATCCTGGTTATCTTCCACGATGTAGTCTATTTAGAGACTATAGTATTAAACTAGTTATTTGTAACCCAGTAATCAAATTGAGAATGGAAATGGGGAATATGTTTAAGAGACAACAACCCGACAAAAGAGCTCATACAAATTAATTTTATATTTGCCAACAATGAACATGCATTGTCTATATTTATTAATAAATCTGATTATGTAAAAATGAAAGGTCACCACTCTACTTAATTCAGGTGATAGATTACTCAATTTGCTGGCTCCTTGGAGCCTCTTATTTTGTATGAAATTTTGTCTAATATACATTCTGCATATCTTTTTCTTTCATTGTATGTATAGAAATTGTATATTTCAGACATTATGGAGGATCATGTTCCCTTAAAAACAGACTATCTGCTGCAGTTCTTAAAAAAAATGAAGGCTACAGCTACTTGCCTAAGGTAAAATAAAACTTTATGTGTATTTATGTTTATTTTCTTTATGTGTGTAAGGATTAATTTAGAAGATATTGGTTTTATGTTTTATTAACACACATCTTTTGATCATATTTCCCCATGTTGGTCTCACCTAGCTGAGCTCTTGCTAGACTTTATGAAATGTCAAAGCTAAAGATATTGCAACAATTCTGATAGCTTGAAATCTTTAGTTATTTGTGGTTTGACCAGGCAAATTGCTTCAGACAAATCCCTTAGATCAGATATATTATGTCTATAAAAACTCTGTATTATTTGATGTCGATATATAAGCTGCTCCTCAAAAATCGTTTTAGCTCAAACTCCTTATCCCCTTACCACAAATGATAAAAACTTGATGCAAGTTATCCATGTACTAACCTGATGGTAAGTTGTAACTTCATATTCTACTGTATAAACATGATAAAGGACATTTTTTAGAAACATGGCATTGTTTTTGACAGGAAAAATTAGATACTGACCTCAGCTCTGACTCAGTCAATATTAGTGTTATTTTTTGTCAATACCATTCTAACCACTTCAAATATTCAAGATTGTATAATATCGGTGTCTTTAATTTATAGCTGTATTGATAAATCTTCTTTTTGTCTTATTTGCATTATAAATCAATTGTAATTTTTAGGTTAATGAAGCTTCAAATCTCTCTCCTGGTGATTTTACCACGTCTTTGACATCAAAAATGGATGCAAAAAGAAAGAAAAGAAAGCAGGCATCAAATAAAAAAGAAATTAAGAAAAGGAGGATTTCCTTTAAGAAAAAAAAGGATATAAATGAAAGGAAAAGCACTATTAAAGAGGGACCCACTTATGAGACACAATTTGAACTAAACATGGATAACACAGAAAATGTTCCTCAGATTCCTCAGCAAATTATGATTTCTGGTTCAGAAAGCAAAGTATTCTTTGACTTTGAAACTACTGGCTTAGGAAGAAATTGTGACATTACACAGATTGCTGCAAAAAATGGTGAGAATGTATTTCAGAAGTATGTAATTCCAAAGGTTGACATACAAATTGAGGCAAGCAGGGTTACTGGCATTACATACAGTCAGACTACCAACATTATGTACGTTCATTGAGAAAAAGTGGAACCAATTTCTATACAGAAAGCACTGTTAGACTTTTTAGAATTTTTATCTGTTTTTAGAAAAACCTATTTTAATTGGTCACAATATTTGATCACAAGAAGAATGCAACATGCCATTGCCACAATAAATTCAGCAAAATGTTTGGTTATTTCATCACAAGAAAACTGCAACATGCCATTGCCACATTAAATTCAGCAAAATGTTTAGTTATTTCATCACAAGAAAACTGGGACATGCTATTGCCATATTAGATTCAGCAAAATGTTTGGTTATTTCATCACAAGAAAACTGGAACATGCCATTGCCAAATTAAATTCAGCAAAATGTTTAGTTATTTCATCACAAGAAAACTGGGACATGCCATTGCCATGTTAGATTCAGCAAACTGTTTAGTTATTTCATCACAAGAAAACTATAACATGTTATTGCCACATTTGATTCAGCAAAATGTTTGGTTATTTCATCACAAGAAAACTAGAACATACTATTGCCACATAAATTCAGCAAAATGATTTGTTATTTCATCACAAGAAAACTGGGACATGCCATTGCCATATTAGATTCAGCAAAATGTTTAGTTATTTCATCACAAGAAAACTGGAACATGCCATTGCCAAATTAAATTCAGCAAAATGTTTAGTTATTTCATCACAAGAAAACTGGGACATGCCATTGCCATGTTAGATTCAGCAAACTGTTTAGTTATTTCATCACAAGAAAACTATAACATGTTATTGCCACATTTGATTCAGCAAAATGTTTGGTTATTTCATCACAAGAAAACTAGAACATACTATTGCCACATAAATTCAGCAAAATGATTTGTTATTTCATCACAAGAAAACTGGAACATGCCATTGCCATATTAGATTCAGAAAATGTTTGGTTATTTCATCACAATAAAACTGGAACATGCCATTGCCATATTAGATTCAGAAAATGTTTAGTTATTTCATCACAAGAAGAATGCAACATGCCATTGCCACAATAAATTCAGCAAAATGTTTGGTTATTTCATCACAAGAAAACTGCAACATGCCATTGCCACTTTAAATTCAGCAAAATGTTTAGTTATTTCATCACAAGAAAACTGGGACATGCTATTGCCATATTAGATTCAGCAAAATGTTTGGTTATTTCATCACAAGAAGAATGCAACATGCCATTGCCACATTAAATTCAGCAAAATGTTTGGTTATTTCATCACAAGAAAACTGGGACATGCCATTGCCATATTAGATTCAGCAAAATGTTTAGTTATTTCATCACAAGAAAACTGGAACATGCCATTGCCAAATTAAATTCAGCAAAATGTTTAGTTATTTCATCACAAGAAAACTGGGACATGCCATTGCCATGTTAGATTCAGCAAACTGTTAAGTTATTTCATCACAAGAAAACTGGAACATGCCATTGCCATATTAGATTCAGCAAAATGTTTGGTTATTTCATCACAAGAAAACTGGAACATGTCATTTCCACATTAAATTCAGCAAAATGCTTTGTTATTTCATCACAAGAAAACTGGGACAAATCAAAAGTTCACTTACATCAAAAAAAGGAAATTAGCCTAAATATGGAAAAAAATGACCAAGCTATCTCTTGAATATTATAGAGAGAGGATTCAGCAAAATGTTTGGTTATTTTATCACAAGAAAACTGGAACATGCCATTGCCATATTAGATTCAGCAAACTGTAGTTATTTCATCACAAGAAAACTAGGACATACTATTGTCACATAAATTCAGCAAAATGATTTGTTTTTTTTATCACAAGAAAACTGGAACATGCCATTGCCACATTAAATTCAGCAAAATGTTTGGTTATTTCATCACAAGAATATAAATAATGCTCGACTTGTATTCCTACGTGGAAAGACTGTATGTAACTGCAGATACATGTACATGTACATGGAACATTTAACAATATTTGTAAAAATGTCTCAAATGCATCAGCTTCTGAATGCGACACAATACATGTCAATTTACGATATTGACAAAGACATTCTACTATAACCGCCTACCAAAAAAAATAAAATGAATTGTGATGAATTTTTTGAAAGGATAGTCTTGAAAAAAACTGTGGTTGTCTGTTTGAAGGGACGCTAACTGATGTTGCTTAAGAACTAAAATTTACTGACAACCAAGTGTATGTTATAAACTTCGTGTGTACCAAGATAAATACGATTGGCCCAAAAATTTTGGCTGCAAAATGTTGCAGACGCTGAACAGTTGAAGGGTTGCCGCGTAGTACTTATAAAACCATTGACATTGTATTAATTAATATACTTCAACAGATATGTCTTTCCTGTTCCACACTGTCCTGTAACAATTAAGTTGTGACCCGCTAAAGCCAACTGCATAGCTTCTTGTGACATATTGACAATTGTTCTGTGATTTTTGGAAAATAAAGTCCGGGAAAATGTGAAAAATGTCCGGAAAATTGGTCCGGGAATATTTTGTGCATTATACTGACCTCAAAAATTCACTGCAGTACTACACTTCCTGTTTACACATCATGGATTCCGTGACAGGGCTCTAAAGGGAAAAACTCTCGAAAACTGCTACAAAAGCCGGGGTAAGTACATAAAAACATGATATTTATTAAGTGTAAACACTCAAGAGTTAGAATTCAATACTTTAATCCATGCTGATTAGCGTTTAAATATAGATTTAGGACAATCCTTGAAAAAGGCGTTGCATTCCTGTCGTTTCTCTACGAGAAGCTCTATTGATAGTCGACTTTATTATTTACAGAATTTTATTGATAGCATTTCCGATTCCTGTGGTTTAAGACTGTGTCATTGTGACTTATAAATGACATTGCTGAAAAATCTGCTTTTCACACACATTAACAATGAGGATATTACATTGCATGGAAACCCAAATCTCTGTTAGTGTAACACTCCTTACCTTTAGGAGACACATCTGTTCTAGCTGAAGTGTCTATTTGAATATTCAACTTTAACATTAAAGTAGCAGCCAAAAATGAAACAAGATGTAAACAAGGTCAATAAGTTATATAAAACAAAAAATGCAGCGTAAGCATGTAGTTCATCGAAAGAACTTTCAAAGTAAAATGAAAAGTTAAATGAAAGAATACTTATCAAAAACCATCTTGCAATAGTACAGAACTTAGATGGCTTTTTGATTGGGTATAAAATATGAATACTATTTCAGTACTGAAAATTGATTGAAATGTTCAGAACTGAAAAACTACTAAACTTTGCAGTACTGAAAAATGACTGCATTCTGCAGTACTGAAAAATGACTGAAATATTCAGTACTAAAAATGACTGAAATATTCAGTACTGAAAAATGACTGAAATTTGCAGTAATGAAAACAACTTTTTCTCAATATTACAGAAAACATTCATACAATTAATTGTACTGAATACATATGAGTAATAAATGTACTAATTGATGACTTTTTATACCAGTATTGTATTTGAAGTGGCATTTATATTGCATGTAAACGCTGTATAAATTCCTGGTAGTGTAAATAGTATTAAAACAAATTAAACAACGACTCAATCATAAAATGAGTCTGTATCATGGTTTTTTCCTGAACTTTTCCTATATCTCTTCTAGTAATGTTGTTAGATAAGAGGGGTGGTTGACATATATATAAAAACACTTTCGTTTAATCCCGGTACATTTTCTGTGAGTATCCCACGTCAGGAACGGTATCGTTAGTGGTAGTATGTCATATCGTAATGTTTCCCCCACTATTTAGAGAATTTAGTGTTAACGGCAGATCTTCGATTGCTTCTGTTGTATATATTTGTCTTTCATGGAATCGAGACAATTAAGATCGAGACATATGGAC